TAATGATTATTTTGAAAGATCCATGCATGACGAAGACAAATATTATTAATTCGAGAATATCGAATGAAGCACGAGCATGAAACCATATTAGCTAAAGGTGTCTTTACACTTTACACTGCATCGTGTCGTTCATATGTTGTTTTTTTTCATCACGATCTTGGTCGAATGGTATCTATTAGGTCAACGGATGTAACCGCGTATCATGTAACCTTATCATATGAGCTTAGCTAAAAGGCGGATTATTTTGACAGAAGGTAGTTGATAACAATTGAACCACTCTTACCGCTCGACGACAAGTTTAATATTTTTCAACTTTCTGGTAACATGGTATATTGATTAAGATTCCAAAATGTTCAGGTAATCAAAACATTGTAATTTTAACACGACTTTTTAAATTATAGAAGACACGATACAGTGTAAAGGCACCTTAACAAAATCAACAAAAAAAAGGTGCTCTGCTGTACAGTAGGTTACAAGTGGGTCACTGTATATTGGATGGTATTAAATTTGAATTCAATGATATAATATCATTGTATAAGAAAAACGATTCTGCGCGGAGACGATATGTCAGTCTAGATGTAAAACATATTATATACTTATCTATAGTATTAAAAAAAATTGACCTATAATAGGTACCTACCTATAATAAATTCCAAATTAATCATATCACAATATCCATTATAGGTACTTATAACGCATTATAACATCAACAACAAACCTTGATACTATCATAGATATAAAAAAATTTACTTTAGAAGTTTCAAGTACCCACGAATAATATTATACAATAACAACAATACAACTAAAATAGTTATTAAGATATTAATTAATTATTACATTTTTAAAATCTTAGATTTAAAAAGAAAAAGTTTTATGAATTCTTAACTCAAAATAATTTGCTAATTTTCGTGATTTTCCCATATTTTGTCAATTTTTGAACTTTAAATGCTTATAAAAAAAACTGTGACTAAGGATTTCTAATATTTTATATCTGTCTTTGAAAAAAATATACTAGGAGTCTTCTATTAAATGTTCAAGCTTTTTTAACCAACAAATACAATTTTAATGATATTATTTTTAGAAAAAAAACTAAAACAAAATGGAAAATTAAAATGTCCCTAAATGGTTGAAAATAAATTAAAATATTTTGAAAATGTTATCGTGTATAGAAAATGCAAAGATAAACAACCAGTGAAAATTTCATGAATCTACGTTCATTTGTTTTAAAGTTACACCAAAAACCAAATTCAATTTTCTGAAAAATCGATTTTGCGTAAAAATTTTCTTTTTTTCTTAATTTTTCTTTTGTTTTTCTAGGCGCTTTTGAAAATTAGTGGGAATAATACTTTTTGACCTCCTTAATGCACCAACGATATTCATTTTCCAATCGAACAAAATACTGAAGTTGAAAATTGAATCATTATTTCGACTACTTATTGTGTACAGACACAACAATTTAAAAATTTAAAAAAATAAAAACACACATCATTGTAAAATCAATACATTCATCGTTTGTTGTTCATGTTTAGTTTTTTAAGAGCGTTTTTTTTTTCAAATTCCCATGAAAACGTCTTGATTACAGCAAAACATAACGACGGATAATAATAATAATAATAATAATAATAATAATAATAATCGAAACGCGTATTTGTACGACGATGGGTATTGGGTACGTTTTGGGTTTTTTTTTAAAAGTTTAAAGCGATGCTCGATAACGCATACTCATACAAGGGTGGTGGCTCGTTTACTACAGAAACTAAAGGCAATATTGTCACTTTTATACTCACGTTTCTATATAGATAGATACCACTGCTGTTGCCTTCGTTATATCGCAAAGTCGTACCTATTTACTCACGCGTAGTTAGCGAAATGTTTCAGGTAGTGCGGAAAATAAACTCGTATAACCGATCGCATAAAAAATATATAATATCATAATATATTATGCGTATTATATCTTAACACACACTATGTATATTGAGTCCTCAGCAGTCTGCGATCCGGAAGTCATATTCTACGGCGGTATATTGATATTATCTATGTAAAATTTATGTTTTCGGTCGATCACGAAAACGATCGTCACCGAAAAGCTGCAGAACGCGAATTCACTGACAAACGATCTATATCCACGCCATCTCTCGGGTGTCCTCAAAGTATTAAAATATCCCGTGGTCTAACTTATCCACCCCTGACCTCACGATGTGCTTAAATATATGTGTGGCTAAGCCATTGAAAAACTCTCCCACATAATTTCCTAAATTGACGTACCTACTAACCTACGTTAGAAACGTTTCAGGAAGGCCACTGAGATAGATAATAATATATACTGGAGCGCGGACTCGCCATTCTCCCAATGATACAAAAAACGATTCGTCCGAATTCCGCTTCCCTCAACTTCGAAGGCAAAACATTTCATTTTACATACGATGGGCGGGTAGTTATTTCAGAGAGTTTCTTTCTGAGAGAAGATTTATTGTTTTATACCTATTTCTCGCAAATTGTATTATCTCTGATAATGACGCATTCTTATTTTAATAAATGTTTTACTTATTTATTTAAATAATACATAAACATGGTTACTAGTTAGGTAGCCTAGGCTCTAGCTGGTGGCAGTAGCGGCAGTAGGTGCTTCTAAATCGACATTTTTCGGATGTGACACAAGGAAAAAAATTAACGACTTCAATATTGTAGGTACTGTAAAATTATTACTCATTAGTCATTCTTTTATATTATTCATATATTGATCCAAAAATGTACAATACATAAAGTACCATTTCCAAAACAAATTAAACATAGTAACTCTTTTAAGATTCTTAAAAGAAAAAAATACACTTTGGCTATTACGAGAACAAAATATAGACAGAATCATAACAAATGTATAGGATTATTGCATTAGGTACTTATTAATTAATAATTAATGAATCGGTATTTGTTATAGAGATATATAGACTATAATATATTTATATTCTAGTTACAGGTATTAGCATTGATTATACATAGTGTATAATCAATGGTATTAGGTACCTATAACCTATATGTGAGAAATGAGTATTGGAAAATGCAAATTGTAACTATTTAATTTATACGACCAATAAATTAATTTATATTTAAAATTTTAAACTCATGGGCCCTACACGAACATGTTCAGTGAGCCCCATTATCTTCTTGAAGAGTAAAAAATAAATAATATACCCAAATTTTTAATTGTAATCAATGAAAAATACCTATGTACCTATTTATATTATTATTATTATTATTATTATTATAACTTGATATAATGATACTAGTATAATACAAGTATACCTATTACACGTTTAAAGTGTAAAAAAAAATTTGAAATAAATTAAGAAATATAAACGAAAACAAAACATTATTATACGCCCGTCGTATATTCATATACAAAAATAAAATGTTTTTCCCTTCGATGGTGGGGGTAACGTCAAATGCGACGGCTCGTTTTTACGGCCGAGTTGGTGCTCCAGTATATATTATTAACTCTTTCAGTGAGGTAGGCTGATCCTATCCATTATATGTATTATCTATAGTAGGTGCCTATTTTTAAAAAAAAAAACCATATTTTCAAATTTTTGAAATTGTTTGTATTCCTTAAGGAGTGTTCTTGACGATACAAACTTTTGTTATCTAGCATTTACCAATAATTTTTAATAATTAAATGAAAAAAATCCTAATGTACTGATAACTTAAATTTTACACAGATAAAGTTGTTCCTTTTGCGTTGTGGATTTTTAGTAATTCTACTATAAATACCGAGGTAGTGGTTCTATCCAGCGCAAAACAGTTTTTTGTTATGTTGTACATGTTTTGTTAGACGGACACAACGCATGCGGCCATGCGGGTATCACATTTGAAAAATTAATTTATATAGCCATTTAATTAATATTATAATTATTACTAAATATTAATTAGGTTCCTTTAGTATATTCATAGACCATATGAATAATAATAATATATAATAATATAATATATATAAAATATATAATAATATTATATCGAGTAGATGAGATTTTAACAATATTATTGTAACCATATTCAAAACCAGTTTTTTTTTTTTAAAACTGAGCAAATTGTATGTGGAACTAGTATTACGCAATATACATACACACAGTCATACAAGTATGATACATTAATATTAATGTTATTATCCTGTATTCAGGTTAAGATTAAACCACTTTCGCGCACTTTGGCCGGGGCTATACACAGCGTATTCCGCAGCGGCGTCGTTCGCCGTTTGACCCTCCAGGCGGACGCTTTGCGTTCTGTCTTTGGTTGACAATCATCGGCGGCAGTCTTTGTTCATCTTTACTCGCCGTCGTGTATACAGAGAATAGTACACAAAATGTCATTTTGCGAGGTTTATACTGTTGTACACCTCATATTATGATCAGACTGGAATATAATTTATCGAACACGCCAACACAATACAGTCAGTAGGTATCATCTATGGACCATAACAACGGCTAAGGGACCGCAAGAAACACGTTTTTATACCTAACCAGATGTCGTCGTATAAAATATGTACATGGGTATTATTTTAAACAAGCGGAATTTTTCCGAGACCTTGAAATTAACTTCGTAAACAGTAAAATACCTCATGCCGTTATGACCGGCTGTATAAGTAGGTATATGTATATGTGAAGATCAATGTTTTTTAGGGCACCTACCTGTTGCTATAATACCCATCTGTGGTAGATTGTTGGGTAGTAGGAATAATGTTATTTTTTGCCGTATGTGAATTGAGATCGATAAATATTATAATAGTAGGTAGATATAGAACCTTATTACATGAGACTGAATAACAATAAATATATTATAAATCAGAATTTTTATTGGTTAGGTAAATAACAAATAGAGGGTATAAATATTCATAATTATATAGGTACAATATACGAACAGTAAAAAAAAAAATTTTAAATATGGAAGTACACTATATGTAGGTACAATAATTTTTTTTTAAGTGTATTCAAAATAATAAAATAAAAATATTAGTCAGATGTAATGCTGGATTCGTCTGATGATGTATCTCCGATTGTCATCGTTACAGTTTCTACCTCAGCAGATAATACGTCATCTACAATGAAATCAATTTTCCAAAATTTGTCTTCTTCTTTCTTCGTCTGACTGATAAAATCCTTCCACATGTTTGGCTTCACACGTTCGACGCCCTCAATTAATAATTCTTCGACATCGGTTAATTTATAAGTTGTATTGTTTGTCATAACATAATTTTTAACCGCTGACCAAGCCAATTCCATTGGATTTAGTTCGCAATGATGTGGAGGTAGTCTAAGTATAATAGAATCATATTGTTTGGCTAATTCATCAACTACATATTTATCATGCTTTACCCTTTTCACTATTTCAAGGAGTTGTGGAATAACCATAGGTCTGTCTATAATTTCATTCTTATCTTTCAACCACTTAATAATATTAGCCTTCTCGGTTTTCGACGTAGGTGCTTTATCAACCTTTACTGAATGGTATGAGGCATTGTCCATGATTATCACACATTTCTTTTTTAATCGAGGCAATACACTGTCAATCCATTCGTTAAATGTTTCGCCATTAATTTCATCGTGAGAATTCCTAGAATTTTTTTTCGACTCAAAACATAATAATGCTTCCGGAACAAAGCCGTCTTCCGAACCTATATTGAGGACTATAAGGTGTTTATCTTTTCCCGACGAATTTACAACTCCGGTTTTTTGATCTTGTAAAAATTCGTCCTGTGGTGATTTTATTGTGCATTCTCCAGAATTTATAGAGGTTTCATCCAAGTAGTAAATATGTCGACCCTCTTCCCGGTATTTTTTTAAATCTTCAAGAAACCGTCTACGCCACAAAACAATTTTAGATTTTTCCGTCAGTGCGCCATTTCCACTTCGTTGACTGTACTTAAAACCCATCTCTTTTAAAATGCGAAAAAGGCTGGTCCGTGAGATCGGTGGTAAAGACTCATCGTTAGAAACCACTTGATATATTTTGTCTACAGTCGGAATTTCACGTTTAAACCAAAAACTGTGCACGTGCCTACGAACCACATTTCTTTGGAATTCATCAAATATAATGCGAGCGGATATCTTAGCTCGTGTTCTACATGGAGATATCACAATTTTCGAACGGTTGTATACCATGATTGTTTTGGAAATCGTAGTTGCTCCAATGCCTAATTCTTTAGATATCTCTTGCCGGAGTATTCTTATCGACTTTTCTGGATCTGCCGCCAATTTTGATTTGTAAGTATTAATTATTAGTAGTCTTTTACCAGAATCTACTCGCTGAAATTCAAACAATGTTTTATTATAAATACAGCATATTATATAAATAGTATATTGTGTGGCAATATTTCAGTCCGCATTTCGCCCAAGATTGAAATTGCCTTTCCGCATGAGCCACCCATACTACTTTTTGTCACACCTTTGTGTTCATCGATCACGGCAAAGGTAATGCAACAACTAGACTATTTTTCGAACACAATATATCATGAAAGAAATGATTTGGTCTTATAAATTTTATAATGGAGGTTATAATAATATGAATACAAGATGTAACCAAAAGTGTAGTTTTGTAAGGACCGTGGTATAGTTTTCAGTATAAATAATAATTGTTATATTAAAATAAAATAAGAATAAAAAAGATAATGCACTATCACGATTTAAGATAGTATTTTTTTTACTTTTTATTTAACTTAAGCCCGGCAACTATGGACATTAGCTGTTTTTGTTGTTTTTTTTATAGTGGGGGGACGGTTGGTTGAAACACATCTTTTAAGTTTGACAGAATTTCAAGTTGGGCACACGTAGGTTTCTGTCATGCCCGGGTGGGGGATGGCGTCATCTCTCTCCGGGCATAGTGACTGCCCGAAGAAAAATGCCGCCCGTGGGCGGGTTCGAACCGGCATCGGTGCGCGTCGCAACCGACGCCTTAGTTCGCTCGGCCACTCTGTCCCCCTTAAGATAGTAATGTTGTACATCATAGAGTAATATAGAGGTGCCGTTCCCTATCACGACCTTATAACCGAATTGACGCCAAAAACAAAATATCCTGTGTCTATTGACTAGATATTTCCTCACTAGGTTGCGTTGAAAACTACATAAAAAGAGTGATGACCATTTGTTGTTGTCACGATTTATAACGACATATAACGAACATTTATAGAAATATACAATAACTAGATAGCCGTCTAATTCTTGTCATCGAAGTCGGCCGCCATTTATACAAAGCAGGCAATGTTTACAAAATAATACAATCACAGTATATTTGTATAGATAAATATATAATATATATATATATGTATATAAATCAATGTAAAATAAATGTAAGCATTGCCTGCTTTATAAATGGCGGTCGATTTCAACATTGGTCACTATTATATGTTCGTGGTCACAACTGATAAAAAGATGGCTATCTAGTTGTTGTATATATCTATGCGAAAATCCATTGAACTATTGTTAACTATTTGAACATGTGTCATGTTATCATATAGTTCAATACGAAAATCCAAATCCAAATCTTTTTTATATCCGTGATCACGGTCATCTCATAGATAATATAAGAATGGATAGGACATGCCTATACCAGTTCCATATGATGCCATGTGCTTTTTTGGGGAAGAGAGAAAGACGATATGAGACTTTTTAAGGTTATGTGCAAAACTATTTTATTAAATAATAATAATAACATGATAGTCAGTTATATTTAGATATTTGTCAGTTTGTATTTTGATTGTTGTGCCACCTGTGCCTGGAAAATGGAAATTGGAAAATAATATTTTAACAAAATGAAATTATATAAATTTTATTTATTACACGGACTAAGATATACAGGACTGGACACGAGATGAATATTGTGGTTACGAAATGTTTTACAACAGGCGGAGTTCGGGGGGATATTTTCCTTTTAGCATTACTAGCGCCGTCTTAGTGGATACTTATGGAACTAGAAATTTGTATGATGTGTTCTAGTTCCATAAGTATCCACTAGGACGGCGCTAGTAATGCTAAAAGGAAAATATCCCCCCGAACACTGCCTGTTGTAAAACATTTCGTAGTCAACCCCCCCCCCCCCCCCACACCCTCCAACCTTGTCGTGTCCAGTCCTGTATATCTTAGTCCGTGATTTATTATTATTTATCAATTACCATATCAATATTTGCTTCATATAACCTTAAAAATAGTATCACTAAATTTTCATGTGATAAGTTCTTATGTCCCACGGACTAAGATATACAGGACTGGACACGACAAGGTTGGAGGGTGTGGGGGGTTGACTACGAAATGTAGTACAACAGGCGGTGTTCAGGGGGATATTTTCCTTTTAGCATTACTAGCGCCGTCTTAGTGGATACTTTTGGAACTAGATGACAATAATGTGATCTAGTTCCATAAGTATCCACTAAGACGGCGCTAGTAATGCTAAAAGGAAAATATCCCCCCGAACTCCGCCTGTTGTAAACCATTTCGTAACCACAATATTCATCTCGTGTCCAGTCCTGTATATCTTAGTCCGTGTTATGTCCTATCCATTCTTATATTATCTATGGGTCATCTACCGTGTCCGTGATCCAAATCAATAAATAAAAAATAATTGGATAGTTGGCTAAACTGTTTAGATTATTACAATATTTTAGTGCATATGAAATGGTAGTACTATAAACGTTTTTAATATATGAAATTATACATAGAATAAAGGTATCAATTATTTATTTATCATTATTATGTATTTATTGTTCTATGATTATAATGATTAATTTGACACTGGCGATTGTGTACAATATACAATAAATTACAAAATTAATTTTTTACTGACCTTTCCCTTTGGATTTTTTTTTATTGGAGACCTGGAGCGGCTGGAGTCTGCATCAGATTTTTTTTGTAGTTGTTTCATGATAGCCGAACAATTACACGACATATTCACAAATAATATTAAAAATTTGCAATGGAATATTATAAAAATTAAACAAAATATAGTATACAGGTAATATGGACTGTAAACAGAGTGGTAATCGCAAAAGCGAACGTACACGCGGTTACACGAATGAGTGCGGTCACGGTACTACGGTAGTCTCACACAGAACGCTGTGACGGTGAGAATGTGCTACAATACAGTACGATACGACTCTACACGCAGCACAGCTGGCGCTTGGCAGTTGCATTATACCATAGAAGTGGTACACGTAGGCACACATCAATACAGTACACTATACACAGCTGCAGTTTCGTGGCGGCCGATGCTAACGCTCGAAGTGGTTGGGGGGGGGGGGCGTCTAGCGGTGGGGATGCGCAGATGCGACGAGTTTTGGTCGACCGAGCGGTGCAATCTAAACCTGAATATAACAGTAATAGAGTATATTAGTAGGAATGAATGTTAGACAGCGTATGTAATATGTTGAATGTAATATTTTCACTGTAGGTAGCACTCTGTATATCCACAGCCTTATTTACAAACACGTTTTAAGATCATGTACGAACGGTAGGTACGCTTTAACAAGTGTATTCACTATTTAGAGGTCACTGGCCACTGCAGAGTGCACCCTGCTGGATCACTGGCATTAATGGTTGGTATAAACCACCGTACTTAAAAATATTAAATATTTATACTTGAATTCAATGATAAATCATTGTATAGTACTATAGTGTATTAGTGTATTCGAAAAACGATTCTGAGAAGAGACGTTATGTCAGCCTAGCATACTTGTATAAATAATCAAATTTAAAAGTAAAAATAATAAATAAATAGACAACGAAAATATCTCATGGATGTAAATAGTGTAACTAATCGATGAACTTTTTCTTTTTGATAAAAGTAGTAAAATTTGTTGCGAACCTTCTAATAAAATTTGTAATGTTGGCTATGAAAAGAAAAACTTTTATTAATTTCTAATTGAAAAATAATTTAAAAAATTTGAAAAATTGCTCATCGATAGCTTAGCTTAAACAGAGTCAAAATTGTTTGAAAATGTCACTATGTATGGACAATTGTCATTTTAACACTTGATGAAACTTTTAGGTACCTACGATTATTCGTTTTTGAATTACTGCAACAAAATGTATATAGATGAAAATTCTAATTGAAAAATAGTTTGAACATTTTCGAAATTTTAATGAATTTTGTTAAAATTAAAACTTTAAATGCATAAAAAAATTATTGAGCCTATAGTATCTTTAATATTTTTGAACTTCCATTAATGAAATTTATATTATATTTTGAAGCTGTTTTACTAAGTGAAAAAGTTTTTATCGAGAATATAATTAAATGTAAATTCACAAAATTTGAAAAATTTCTCAAGACTATATAAACTGGATCAAAAAGAGTCAAAATATTTCAAAAATGTTACTATTTATGGGAAATTCTAATATGAATTTTCAATTTTGACTTCTCATAAGTACCAAGTAGATTTACTTTTCTATCAGAAAAGATGCTGAAAATCGGATAATTTTTATTAGCCAAAATGTTGCTGACAGACAAAATAATAACACACATCATTGTAAAATCAATACATTCTATTGCTCCGTTTAGAATCTAAAATTATCACATAAGGTGTTATTTATGAGTAGATTTAGCAATCAAGTTCAATAAATTTGAACCGTATAGGAACATTTTAGATTCTGAGTGGAACGATGAATGTATTGATTTTACAATGATGTGTGTTTTTTTTTGTGTCCGTCATCACGTTTTAGAACAGTAAAAGTGATTGGATTTTCTTCAACAGTAGCTTTTCTGATAGGAAAGTGAATCTAATTGGTACTTTAGGGGCACAAAAGTGAAAATTTCTCAGTAGTTTTCAAAAGCGCCAAGAAAAACAACAAAAAAAATTAAGGAAAAACGGGAATGTTTACGCAAAATCGATTTTTTACAAAATTTAATTTGGTTTTTGGTGTAACTTTAAAACAAATGTCCGTAGATACATGCAATTTTCACTGAGTGTTTATACTTGCATTTTCTATACACGATAACATTTTCAAAATATTTTGATTTATTTTGAACTGTTTAGGGATATTTTAATATTCCATTTTTTTTTAGTTTTTTTTCTAAAAATATCCATCAAATTTTATTTGTTGGTTAAAAAATCTGGAAAATTTAATAGAAGGCTCCTAGTATATTTTTTCAAAGACAGATACAAAATATTAGAAATCCTTAGTCACAGTTTTTTTTATAAGCATTTAAAGTTCAAAAATTTTAAAAATATGGAAAAATCACGAAAATTAGCAAATTATTTTGAGTTAAGAATTCATAAAACTTTTTCTTTTTAAATCTAAGATTTTAAAATGTAATATAAGATTCCTTATAAGATTATCTACCTTTATCAAAAAAAAAAATGTCTATAAGACAGTCGATTAAATTTTTTTGAGCGTTTGAAATTCAAATTTTTACAACATTGGATATTCACTCGATTTCTCATGTAGCGATTTCTTTATCTTTTTGTAATTAAAAAACGAATTACTGTAGATACATGAAAATTTCACTGAATGTTTATATTAGAATTTCCTATACACCATACATATTTTGACTCTTTTTGGGCTGTTGACGGACATTCTCAGTTTTCAATTTTTTTAGTTTTTTTCCTATAAATATCATTAAAGTTTTATCTGTTGGGCCAAAAAGTGTAAAAATGTAATACAAGGCTCCTGATATATTGATACAATATCAGTTGAAAAATATTTAAAATACACAGGCACAATTTTTTTTTATAAGCATTTAAAGATCGAATTTTGACAAAATTTATCAAATTTAAAATTGAATAATTATTTTGTAGTTAAAATTTATAAAATGTTCAACTTTTATATCTAAGGATTGAAAATTTAAAACAAGATTCCACGTAAGTAGTTTATTCTGTTACCAAAAAATCTAAAAAATACATAATCACAGTTTATTTTTATAGTCATTTTAATTCAATTTTTTACGAAATTACATATTAAAAAACGTAGAATAACTATTTTAGTTATTTTGTTGTGATTTTATAATATTATTCGTAGGTACTTGAAACTTCTAAAGTACACTATTATATATCTATGATAGTATCAGGGTTTGTTGTTGATGTATGACGCGTTATAAGTACCTAATGGATATTGTGATATGATTAATTTGGAATTCATTATATTATATTGGAATCTATTAAAGGGCAATTTTTTTTTTTAATACAGCCATCTTTTCTATAAAAATATTGAATAACAATTAAACAGAACAATGACAATTCAAAAAAATTACAATAAACTATAAGAGGTATAAATTATAAATTACAAAATGTAAATATTATTGGTTATAGGCATTAGGCAACCTATATTATCTGACCTATAAACCTACAATAGAAATATAAACGTTCTGTAATATTCGATATTATACCATACATTTTTAATAATATATATAGGTTCATCTATGTATATTATGTAAACAGTTCCTCACGCAAACCTATTTAATGATGTATAATGGACACTGTCCTAAGTTCATAACGGAAATAGGCATTTTATATACGAAATATACGTATTTTAATTAGATATAATAGGTACGTTTATTTAAATATATAATGTTTTCTATTATAATGTAAAGCCTTTAGGAAATATTATATTTCCGTGTGGGCAGTGGCGTCATTTGGTGGGAGGGCAACTGGGGAATTTGCCCCAGTCTAGTATTTACATCAACCTTAAGTCAGCACATTTACCGCAAGCCCCCCCTCCCGTTACATCTATGGCACTACGCTATGAGAATGTGAGTGAAAAAAAATTTGAGTCGAAAAAGCAGTGAAAAATTGCTAAAAAAAAAATTTATATAGGAGTTATTAGTGACTGCAGTTAATTTGTACAAACAAAATATTATTGTATACATTAAAATAAACGAAAAAATATGATCAGAAGTCATGTATCCCCCCAATTGTTCCAAAGTATTAAAACATATATAAAAATTATTGACATCCTTTAACGATGCAAAAAAAATTATGTACAGAGGTACACAGGTATGCTATCATAGATAAATTAATTTTATGAATCAAACAAAATTATACTGTTTTTCTAGCTGGAAACTGCAGTAAATTTTGAATTATAATCCAAAAATACTAAAGACAATTAAATGAAAAGGTGATCAGGTATTGGTTAGAGATAGCAGTTAATACTAAAAAACAAATATTTAAATAATTGATTTAAAACTGAGAGCTAAAAATTAGTCATCGTTATTAGGTATTCACCGAGAAACGCCAGGTAATGCAGCTAGTAGATAATAATGTAATATTATTAATTGTATATTACATTTTTCAGATAAACAAAATGTGTTGCCTGGCGTATTATATAGGCAATATAGGTACTAACCGAAATGTCCAATATTATTTTCCAAAACTACATTTTAGCTCATTGCAAGTATATTCTGTTTGCGACAGAAAGTGGTTGCACACAATTCAAAAAAGGTCATAACAAATCCACATTTCTTAGATCAAATTAAATCCCTAGGTACATTCAGAGGCCACCTGGTGGTCAACGTTTCAACAGTTTATACAAATTAATCAACTAGAGTTAAATAAATAAAAAAAAATGGATATGGGGACATGAGCACCCTAGGCCAACGCATTTTAAGAAGCAGAAATCCAATTTAAGAAAAATTCAGAAGGCATCAGGTTGTCAATGTTTAAAAAATCTATATAAAAATATCAACAAAATTTAATTTAATGAAAAAAAAAATGGGCAGGGTAACAAAGGCGCCCGCAGACAAATTCATTTTAAAACTAAAAAAAAAAAAATAGATAAATATAGCTAGAAAGTAGTTACTGCAGACTGTAATAATATAATCTAAAGATTTTTAAACCCCCAAAAATATTCACAATAATTAGTTTATTCGAACTGTCTTTATCAGAGGTCCCCTTAATTATCTAGTGAAAATAAATAGTTTACAAATTAACTAGAATTATATTAATGAAAATAAAATTTGGAAAGGGGACATGAGTGCCCGCAGGCCAATTAATTTTAAAGTACAAAAAATTAATTTAATTTATAAAAAATTAAACATTAGGTAACAACTTAACACACTTTGTCAGCAAGACCCAGACAAAAATATTATATGAAGGTATAGCAGTATATTTGCACTATTAAAAAATGTGTATATTCAATATTGGTATGGTCCAATGTCAATACTCCATGTGGGTTTAAAATATGGTAAATTGTAGTAAAATAGATTTGGGTAAGTTCACAACATATTACATAAATCTGTTGGGACTTGGGACTTCAGTAACGTATTGATAAATAAAACTATCGAGGATATCACCGAAAATAAATAGCAGCAATAAACAAATCCAAGAAAGCATCAATGAGTACCTATTTATTAATTAATAATTACTATTAATATATTAATTGTATTAAATAGTTTTAATTTATTTATATCATATATGTATATTGTGTAATATAATATAGGTACATACATGACATATTTATTATATTTATGTAATTTAAACAATTCATATACAATACAATATTTACTCTTCATTAGGCTAAACTTACAAACTAAGTAGGTCATAGGTCATAGATATATACATTTTCTTCGGTTTTTTGGTTCGTTCCTTGTACTTGCATATTATTATAATTATGTTTATGGCTGTTTATAGTGTTTTTTTGACTCAATATTAACCGTGACAAAATTACCAATATCCACAAAAAAATACCGAAATAATTTTGCATAATTTATATGATAATTATTACGTTTTTGTTCTTTCTAACTATTTCGTATATATAGGTAATTTGTTTTATAGAGTTTCTATATGTAAGACTTTTTATACCACAAACAGTTATTAATATTTTAATTTAATAAATTATTCGATATCGTAAATTTAAAGTGAACAAAAAGTTTAGGTGATAATTAGCGAAATTAATAATTGCATACATTTAAAAAGGTGCTATGAACTTAATGTTAAGTGAAATATTTTCATTTTAGTAGGTGCCACACCAGCCACCGAATAAGACATTTCTGACATAACTTTTTAAAGAAGGTAAGTAAGACATTTATTTTATATTGAATCATTACAGCTGTATATAGTAAATCAATACTCAATTTTAGGTATATACTATTGTTTTTTCAAAAAGAGTGTGGTTTACTGGTATGGAGATTAAATGTTCTGAAAAATAATTGAAATGTGTATTTGTTTGTACGACATTTTATAATCACGAAACTGTAGGTCATAAAAGCCATTAGTCAAACCATGTTTTTAAAAAGAAATTATTACAAAGCATTTTATTTCACAGAATTTTATATTATCAACAAGTAAAGTGTATTTTCGTTATAAAATAGTATTATTTATTACCTACGTATTAAATAAATCTGATATTTTGGTTTGTAACATATTTGTAACATGTATTTTACATAAAAATTGAGTGTAAATATCGTTTCTACTAAGTTTGTTTTACGTCTTATATTATTATAAATAGCCAGATAATTTTTCACGGATTTTTTAATATTTAGCCATATCCAAATATACCTTGTCATAAACCGTCAATAATACATTAATACCTACAATACCGGTACATACTATAGTTGCATCCCAAAATATTATACGAAGTGCCTCCCATTTACATCGTTAATTAAAAAGGTTATATACTTACACTAGCTGACTCCGATAGTCCGATGACCGATGATCAGGTAGGTAGTTCGTAATGGAAAAATCGGAAACCCTGGAATAGGTTCAAGGGTAAAAATATAAAGTGCGAATTGGTTCCATATAAAAATTAATTATCATCATACAACTACTGTTCACATTGATACACATGTTTACAAATCAGTAATTTCATGACATTTTTCATAATATTTCATTAGGTTTTACGATGAGTGATGACTGTTAAATTTCTCGTATCATAACAGTTTTATGTCTAAATATCTATTATATTAAAGTATATAAATATTATATTATATCTAATATGTATATTGATTCTGTTTGTGTCTCCTAGTCATACCACATAAGCTAAAATGTTGTTCAGTAAAAATTGCTGGAAGGGAAAAGTTTACTGTGGAAAATATTAAAATATGTAATGACTGCCGAATTTCGATTTTTTTCAATCCAAAAAAAAAAATTGTTTTAGTATTATTTATTTTAATCAACCAACGTCCAACTTATTTGTTATTAGGTCAAAATATTACTTTAGGTACTTATTTTATTATTACATAGGTATTATTATTATCAAATGCGTATACTGTAGCAGTGTAGCTTATTTGCTAATATTTATAAGTACCTATATAACATAGACTCGGTACAAGCAACACTTTTAAGTGTAATACATAGGTATTCTTGACAGTTCTGAGTTTGTGTAAAATGGAAAAGAGATTTTTGTTGGTTGAATATACGAAAATAATTTGAAAAAATAAATACCTACATTTTATTAATATTGTAGACTGTAGTAAGTAGAAAAAAAACATTTAATAATATAATTAAATGCATAAACATTATAGGTATTGCAATGATTATAATAATATTTATAATAAATAAAATGTTTGAATCGTTTAAAAACCACTCTACATATTTTATCTACCCATTGGCCATTGGGAGGCAACTAGTTTGCGCCACAATAATATGACTCATATATAAATTATATTTTATGGTAATTATAAAATAATTGTCTAAATTCACCAAAATTAAACGTTATTTTAGGTATGTTCTTATAGTCGTTATAAAAACTGTAATATAACAATAACAAGGAATTTTGAGTTTTTGACGATACCTTAAAGCCATTGAACCCGGCTACTTCAACCGTGGTTATTATAAACGATTTACTATAGGTACTGTATATTATATTTAAATGTATCTTTCCTACACAAACCTTCACGAACCCTTGGATAGGTCCATAAAAGTCCAACTTGTTCCCTATTAATTTAGAGTTTAGTTATTAGTTTTTACAGAATCCTACGTTCCCTATATCGATCCCAATATCCTATTATACGTTTCCTATGTAAATACTTTATCGGAACACCGTCATAAAGAAGTTAATACGGGGTCTTAAACCTTCTCTAGAACAAAGTAGGACTTTGGTATAAGTAGTAGTGTAGTAAGTATCTATATAATATTGTTTTTTGGTAGTTTGAGTTATTTCTTGGGGTTTATAAAAATGAGCTTACATAAAATAATATTGGGTAGGTACCTACATCAGGCTAGAAACTGTCAACATATAGGATGGCAACAATTGATTAGGTACTCATTTACTCCTCTGAAAGGTTATTACTTATTTCTATTACCTTGTATTTAGTTAATTTAAGTAGGTAGGTAACTATATAACGTATAGTTTTAGTCAGTTTATGTTGTGAATTCGATGTAAGACCTAGTTGGCAAACTTTTAATATAAGTACGAATAATAAATAGATACCACCTACCCAATTTCCTTTCAATTTATATACTCGATAATAATATTGTACCTATTTATGGTGGGTTATTATCATGGGTTAAAGTGGGAAAAAAATTCCAGAGGGGGACTAATGTCTCCATATAGTTTTAAGCGTTCCATACATAATATTATGTATAATGTCTAATGTATAAAATCCTAATTTGTTAAAGGGGACGTTTTTTAACCGCCATCAGAGGTAGGGGGACTGCATGAGTCCCCACTTTAACCCCTGGTTATTATATTGTTCATATGACGAATACCTATATTATTTTTATTTTTAGAGTGCATGAGCTAGAAAATATCACAAAATGAAATGGTTGCAAGATTACGAAGTGGCAATTAACTTGGCTTTATTCAAGAGATACCAATTTTATCATATATTCAACCCAAACGGATCAAAACTATTCAACTATGACACATACAAGCTCACAAACGTCATGTTTATTGTGGCCGTCACGACTTACAACATATTCTCTGCAATGTGCTTTTTCACAGATACCATAGATTCCATCGACAGTATTGATTTATTACTAATGATATTTATATACTCTATTATTGTAATTTCATTATTGAAAATTAGCGTTCTTCTATACAACGCAGATCAAATTTGGGAATTGTTCGACCTGACGCGCCTTGATTTTTTAACAAGCAGGCGGTGCCGCAAAAACGTCGGAATTCTCTGTAAATACCGCGATAAGTCGATAACGATAACCAACTTCTACCAAAACTACAGCACCTTAGTATTCATCATATGGATGATCGGCGATCGCTCCTTTGGTATTAAACACTTTTGTGGTGGTCGGAGGCCCGAATGTGCGTTATCATAACATTTTCAACATGCAGTATCCGGTATCAGCGAATATTTACAATAAATATTATTACCTATTTTATTTAATGGAAATAGCAATGGGAATATTCGTTTTAAATTATTCGATGATCGTTGACAATTTCCTAATATCGTTATGTTGGGTTATAATTGCACAGTATGAAGTAATTACCACAGCGTTAGCAAAGATCGGAAACGACTGCGAACATACACACTTTCAAAACGGTAAGTCGAGAAAGAAGTAAAATTCTTGGACTTGGTGCTGTGTTATAAATATGTACTAGTACTACCATAGTAGCATTAGCATAAGGATTATAATGTTATTAATATAATGATATCATAAATGCTAAAAAAATTAGTGTTGTACTATTAACCATAGTTAAGTTTTCACTCACTTTTCTGGAATAGCAACGTCAATTTGTTTCTACAGATTCAGATATAGTACCTATTTATTTTTTAAATTTTTAAATTTTTTCCTACTTACAAAATAGACAAATTAAGTTGAAATCAGAAAAAAACAAATCGATGTTGCTAGTTTGAAAAATGTATTAAGACGCGTATTTCACATGAGCTGTGTACCGAAACGATTAAAAAATTAAATACATATTCTCAGATTGGGTATTTTAGTAGATAGATACTCCTTTTCACTTCCCGAAAACCACTATTCAAGAACACATTTTTTTATTTTTTTTTTTTTATTGAACAAAAATTTATATTTATATGTAGTACAATAAGTAAATGGGATGTGGGTTGATTAGCGCGAGGGGGAAGTCACCCAATGGTGGAAACCCGTGGTACAACATATTTCTATTATATTTTAATTTTAATGCAAATTGTATATTAATTAGTTAATAATTATTGTCTAAAGTTACATTATTGGTATTATTTTTTCATTTAATAGTTAGGTACTGCTTGTACACTTGCATGCATGACATAAATATAATATAATAATACCATGTTTTGGTATGGAGTATTATAATATATACTACCGTAATGGTAATTTATAAACTCCGGAAAATTAACATTATATTATTTGATTTTCAGAAAAAGATAACAATAGTTTTGAAGCATATGAAGATCTTAAATCAATTATAATGGATCAGAACAAATTGTACATGTTAGTATTGTATCCTATTGGCTATACTGTGTTATATACCACCTAAATACCTAATACATTTTAAATTAAGCCACAACAAAACATGATTACATTGCAATTAATATGTATATACGTTGACACATATATAACTAAGGTTTTCAAATTATTTTGAAAGTGCATGAAATGCTAAATTTTTGGGGGAAATAAATAGATAACATTTTTGTAACACGTTTTGTTTATAGATGTGGCCATCCGCTGCAAAAGGTTAGGTACCTATTTGATATTTACCGTAAAACTCATTCTAATTTCTATTTTTTTTTTAGTATGAAGAATCATCTACCCGGGACCTAATTATACGCTTTTTGTTTATCTTTTAATGGTTAGAGGGTATTATAAACTAATATTGACATATTGTATAGACTTGGGATTTTTATTTGGATCACTACAGATATAGTATATTATTATTGTAATTTCAAAAATTAAATTTGAGTAAATATATATATATATATTATTTTTCTGATTGATTTTTTTTATATTTTTATGTGAATATATATGGGGGTGTGGGGTACCGCCATCACGGGTTACTTTTCATGTAATATCAGGTGAGGGCTACAGCCCCCCCCCCCAATATTTTAGCCCTAGTTGCGCCACCAAATTAAGTATATCAATAGTTTCCAGGTATTTTATTAGGTGTGCCTGAATATTATATTGATTGAATTTTAAAATTAACTTTTAAATAGATATTAAAATTTAATATATGAAAATTAGCATCAATTAGATATCGGTATTGGATACCTTCAAAAACAATGTTTAAATAATATCTAATTTTTTTTTTTCAGAAAATTGAAATCATTCTATCGTGTGGTGTGGATAATAGTTATATTTTTGATTATTATAGATTCAGTTTTATTAATAATATTGACATATTCATTTATCATGGTAATGTTTATATACAAAAATTATTTTATTTTATATTCCTAAAATCATAACTAAGGACTAAAGCCTAGAGGTACATTAAAATAAAACGCTGAACCCACATAATATGTGTCTCTGTCTTACAAACTTACAACATAAACATTGCAAATTTATAAATTATTATTTATTTCTAATTATGATATAGGGACGAGAGAGAAGGATTGGTGTATCGGTTGAACGGTTTTGATACGTTTTTCTCAAGTTTTTCAACAATTCTTTTATCGGTTATCTAACTTAACTTATGTAGGGTACCTAGCTGTGGATATCGTGGTGAATATTCAAAGTTCGTACAAAAGAAAAGAAAGGATATTTATTTGAACTCACTCTAAAATTGATGAGCCACTGCAGGGAGAGTACTGAGTACCTACCTACCTATAAGTAACTCCATAGAACGGAACCATACTCAAGGGCCGAACAATAGAGAATAATACGCAAAGCCTTGAGTAAAAAAGAAAGCTTGAACTTTGACGATTCCCACATCTTAAACTCTTTACAGGTTACAAGTTACAACTAATGAAACTACTGTTGTACAGGTACAACCTTATAACTTAATTGTAGTCAGATGCGATTACTAGGGGATGGGGGGCTGAATTCCTCCTCCCTTAGACCTCAGGTACTAAAACTATTTCACTATTGCCTACGTATAATTATATAATATATTATGCAATAAAAAGTAATTTTGTTATTATTATTATTGTTTTGTAATGTATATTATGTATGATAAATATTTTATTCACTCTAAAAACTTAAACTTAATGCCTATATGCTCTTATGTACTTGAAGTAAATTTGTTCGTCAGCCCCTCCATTTTTTCACGCCTGATTATAGGTATTGTGTATAGTCTGTATATAGCATACGCCTAGTCAGTACCATACCTATAAGCTATAATATTATAGCTATAGGGAGAAACAATTGTTACTGGGAAATATAGAGGGTCAGTAGAAACTCGTTACCACATTGAGTGAATATTTTTACTTATATATTATTTTGTCGTACCTATAATGCTTCGTTTGTAATATTTGTATAGCTATCTACTTAATTTAAAACAAGCCTATCAGTTTTATTCGTAATAATTAAGCACTAATATTATAGTATACACACTATAAATATATAAGTATTATTGTATTAATGTATTAGGTATAGAACTTTGATATGAACACGAAATAACTTAAACACAACTCCAGGAAAAAAATAAACCACTTTCCATGTATTTTAAGATTATCATTTCAATACTTCGGTATAGGCACTGAATATTATTTTTATATACATAGTGATAATACACCATTGTACTCCAATAAATTTAACAGATTTTTGAGTGATCAGCATTTGACTATTCTTGTTATTCTGTGGTTTATAGGTGCGAATTATGTTTGATAATGAATTGTTTCGTGAAAAAGATGCGTGGTAGGTTGAGAACATTTTGAGGATGTACATTAGTAATTTCAAGTTATTAAAGACCAAAAAAAACATAATTTTGTTTTTTTTAAAATTATTTGTTCATCTTGGCCGAACAAAACACAAACATATTAGGCGTAATAAATAGGTACCCACCAGAGTCCAGAGGTACCTACTTCGTAAAGTTTCGAAGTTCGCACTGCCACATACTATACAAAATACAAATATACAACAATAACCTTTTTACATGTCCTATATATATATATATCAATACACCATGATGATTATTGATTAATGAATACTGATTTAATTCTGTTGATAGATTTGTTCGTCAGCAGAATCATTTTCTATTTTCAACATCCTTAAGATCTCGACAGCATTTTTTGTTTTTGTAATTCAACTATACTTATACTGTTATTTATTTGACGTTCTAAATGATAAAGTAAAACATATTAGCATTACCTATCTATTAGAAGGAGTTTTTTTTTTTATTAATTCTGTGTTTGAATACAGAAAGAATCCGTCAACTTTGGATTATATTCTTGTGATTGGACGAAGATGGATTTAAGATTTAAAAAGTTATTATTATTAGCAATGAAGTTCAATAATGCTAATAAATTAAAGATAAAATCTACACCGAATAAAATAGTTAATTTACAACTATTTTCTAGCGTAATCATTTTATACAATTATTTACATAAATATAAGAACATTATTATACACATAATGATACATTAAACATTAAATCTGATACCTACTAATACCAATTTAATTTCAGGTGATGACCACAACCTTCAACATTGTCACGGTCATGCTCAAAACAATGAATGGAAAAAATTAATTTTAGTACGAATTTAATATGTAATCTATATCCTATAATCGTATATACGCATAGACACATAATAATATATCATGACTGTATCATGTATTGATGTATGACACCTGTGAGAAGAAGAATGAATTGTTATATCTTCCCTCTGGGAAAAATGTTTAGTATGCGCTTTATTATTATCAAATTCAATGAATTAGGATTGGCTTGGCAAGTTTAAATTTTTAAATAACAATAAAAACTACCGTTACTGGTTCAAAGTGAAACAAGTGTCACTCCACTTTATTACCTATATAAATAAATGATAATTCATAGTACCTATATATAGGTCATGCTTTTTTCTTTCAAACATCTAGTAATCAACAGTACCTACCTAATAAATTTGAGATAATAATATCATTAAATATCACTTTACAATTTGTATCGTATGTCATTTACATAAACATCACGAGAAACTACTGAAAACTTGCTATAAATGTACTACCTACTCGTTTTTAAAAAAAATAATATGATTTGATTCTGAATTCAAATTTCACACATCCATTAGGTGGTGACACGTCCAAATTTCCCGAAACCAAAATATCCTCGCAAAAATATTCCATAACAAGATATCCCGCCTAAATAATAATTCAAAATTTTAACCTTTTTTATAAAAGTTGCATAAATATTAATACAGTACATTTATTATTTACGTTTATAGAAAACAAAACAAAAAACAATTAAAAAATGTTTAAATAAATATTTAAAATATTTATCTTTCTTCACTTTTTCGGTGTACACTGAATGAATAGCCTTCAACTATTAGTAATTTATTGCCTTTGTAACGAACATGCCTTGCCTTGCCATGCTTTTGCCTTTGGTTCTAATTCTATTCAAATTCTAGCATTTTTTTATTTTTAAATTTATAACAGTTAAGTATTTAAATAATATAATTTAAGACTGTTAGCTAATAGCTCACGGACACGCATTGTAGGTAATGATATAAAACGTCAAAAGACACACTATAGGTACCATTAACAAAATAACGAATAACTAATAAGACAATGAATTTAGATAGCTAAAATGCGATTATTAGGTATTTCTAATCCAATCACAACTTTTATAATGAAGGTTAAATTTTGAATTAATATTTATGACTTTATGAGGGATATTTCGCTGTGGAACCCCATTTGGTACCTATTGGCTAGTGGCCTACTTGTCCCGAACTGTCACAGTATACTTGGAACTAATGAAACTTATAATAAATAAACTCCGGCCCACGAGAGTCCATATATCAGTGCCGTAAAAACCGGGTGTGCAAAGTGTGCACCGCACACAGGCCTCGGGCCTCATAATATATCGAAGGGCCTCAAAAGATCCAAATACTAATATTAAACTAATATAAAATTATTAAAATATATAAATTATTTATTATTGGTTTGGAAACGAAACCAATGTTTCAAACCAATTGAGAGGAACGAACAAATGTATTGATTTTACAAGATGTGTAGGTATAATTTTTTTCATTTCTGTCGGTCATCAACAATGGGTAGTAAAAATATTCCGAATTTCGAGATCAGCATTTTTTCTGTTAGAAAAGTGAATCTAGTTGGTACTTTTTGGATATCGAAACCGAAATTTTTAGTTTTAGATATTAAAAAGTGTCAATAAAAAAAAAAAAAATTGTAATTTTTACCTAAAACTAAAAATTTTATTTTTTGGTGTAACTCGAAAACTAATAACCGTAGACCATTGAAGTTTTCACCAAATATTTATATTAATATTTTCAATAAATTACATTTTGGACAATTTTTACTTTTTTGAGTTAGTTATAGCCTTGAGAAATTGTTTTAAAATTATAGATTATTTTAAATTAAACATTTTTTTTTGTTTAAGCCCGAATTTTTGTCTGCTGACTTTAAAAATTGCAAAAAAAGTTTTTGAGGTGTGTATTGAAAAAGATAATAAGGGGCCTCAATATTTTGGTTTTGCACACAGGCCTCAAGTAGCCTAGTTACGGCACTGAGTACAGTAATAGATATCTGTTACAAGATTTGTTCAGTTTAGAATATTATTACAACTAAAGTCAATATTTTATTATATTTTAAAAATTGACTTACACACTCGACAATACGAAAAAAGCAACAATAGTTTTTTGTGTTCACAAATTTATTTTTAATTATCGAACAAAAACAATATAACATTTTTTAATTTTGAATATAATTTCAAAAACGGAAACAATTTTGGAAACGGTTGCCGTTATATTATTATACAATTTTGTATGTTCAAAAAAAAGTTAGAACAAAAAAGAAAAAGCCGAAATTTGTAAAGTGAATATTATTCGATATAAGTAAAGAAAATTTAAATACAAAAAAAAAAAGGCATCGGTCAAGACGACGCGATGTGGGGGGGTACGTGGTGGCGAGTTGGTGGTGCTGATGATGTATTGGTAACTGGTATATGGCCACTGGTCACCTCTACAACGTTCTCACGGGCTGTCCTGCGGGGCGGACGAGAGTCGCGGGCGAGTTTGCTCGAGACCGCCAAGACGACCATGGCAGCGGACGAAGCCCGGCCACGACGGCTGCGAGAGCGACGACGATTGGCGACGAGAGGCTAGTGCGCGATGTCGTGCGCTGCTTGACGGTACTGCGGGTGCTGAAGACGACTGCTTGTGCCGGCAACGACGGTGACCTTAAAAGCTCGGAGAGGCGGGCTGGCGACTACGATCTCGGTGCAGCTGCGGAATCGGCGGCGTTGCGACTCGGGATCGGACCACTGGGTGAAAAAGGGAGAAAATCTGCAGACAGCTTCGCGACGACGCGCCGCTGTCCTGATAGTCTCCGTGATTTTCGCCCTGGCGTCTCCGTCTGCCGCAGCCGATGGCCACGGAGCCGCGCACCGTCGAACCCGACGAAACGTTTCGTTTCCTCGAGCCCGGCGCTGCTGACGTCCGTGGCGTTCCTAGCTATACCCTGTAATCATAGTCATCCGTCACTCACCCGCCGTGAGCTCTGAGGTCTCCGTCGCCGCCGTCACGCGAGTCGCGCAGCACTGCAGCGTTCGTCACTGAGCAGGTACCGTGTCGGGGACGGCGTCGTTGTCCGCGCCGGTACCGCTAACCTCCGTCGTCGTCGTGTCGTCGTCGCTCCCGGACCGAAGCAGCCGGGCGCCCGCCGCGCCGCCAGAGGGTCTCGCGTGTCTCGGCGACCTCGAGCTCGCAACGTCCGCGATCCCGTCGCGCTGCCGCAGGATGGCCGGAGAACGTGTATCGGCGACTTACCGCCGGTCACCACCTGAATGTGCACTGCCGCGTACCTATTACCTCGAAACCCCACACGTCGCCTCGTCTTGTCCGCTGCCCTCGGCCAGGGGGGAAACTTTTGGTCGGTTTCACTTCGGGGGACAACAACAGCGCAACACGCGTGCGGCACTCGTCAGGCCTCTCCACGCAGAGGACACCAGTCTCGCCGTTGCACTGCGCGGAGCTGCGCGTGTTTCTGCCTTGACCCCCGGGTCCAGCCAACCAATCAAGATCCCGATACTATTTCTGACTTCCAGTCCTCTGGCCGGTGTGGCGCCCACCGCCTCGCCATCCAGCTCCTTTTTCGCGGCTTCCTGCACCGGAGGCGCGACCACTTCAACGATCGGTTCAACCGGTTCTGCCATTTTGTCAGATTTGTCGACCGGTTGAAAGACGTTGGACGGGACGTAGTCGTCCCCCGCGAAGCGCGTCGCATACGATAAAAGTCCTTCCAGGTCTCCGATGGTAGGCTCTTGGTCGATGTCGTCTATTCGTTTAAGTTCTTCTTCCATAATCTCGTACTCGACGTTGCTTATTATTTTTCCCAAGATTTGCATGATAGTTGTTTCCATTTCCTTTTCTTCGATATGCGATGCAGCCATTTTTTCGTTCAGGTTTTTTTTTTGTCCGCTTAAGGTTAGGTCAGATTATATACTCAGATGAGCTCAGAGTTGCAAATGTGCCGATTTCGGTATTTATTCCTGGGCCGTCGACGATGATTTTAAACAAACATCGTTTATTAGTAGCCAGCATATTATTATATTAATCGACGGCCGGCATCAGCTGGATTTCGGGCCCGTTAATTTTTCCAAATGCCATTATTACGACTATTATTGGTATACCGACTCTAACTGTATATACTTACGCAGAGGTACACTATAATAATTGTATTATAATATTTTAACGAGGATTTATATGTCGATCTGCATTATATTACTATACTGTCGTATATATAATATATATACTCGCTTTATACTTTTGTAGGTACCTATAAGATTTTTAGATTCAGAACGGAACGCGACCAATGCGTATTGCGATTTTACAATTATTGTTTTTTGTGTATGTGTTGGGGTGTACCTATATTGCGTTTTATACAGTGCCGTAAAAACCGGGTGTGCAGAGTGTGTACCACACACAGGCCTCGGGCCCCATAATATATCGAAGGGCCTCAGAAGATCTAAAGACTAATATTAAACTAATATAAAATTATTAAAATATATAAATTATTTATTATTTATTTTTTAACCTAGTAAATTACTAGGTTTATATGATGGCGTTAAAACGGTTTATACTCAAACCGTTTTGAAAGTTAAAACGCTAGCGCTATGTAGTTTAAGAATTTAAAACCGTTTTATATGTTTTGTTATGCTGTATTTAATTATTTTTGATTATCGCATTCCGTTATAATTACGTTTACAAACATGTATCGTTTTTTGTAAAAAATAAAACGTTATAATCAATAATCATAATGTTATTATAACGTTTGCAAGCTCTGCCATATCCATAAAATATTGCAATTTTTCAACCACTTCAAGATTGAAATTCCCAACTTACCTATTTAAATCACAATAAATTATATTTTCAATTAGGCTGAATTGTATTGTTAATTTATTTATTGTACAACCTAATTTTTTTATGGTCTATAGAACTGGCCCTTCTGAATACAAAAAAATCGGCAGAATTGTCGACCGGTTTTTTTGTCTGCTGACTTTAAAAATTGCAAAAAAAGTTTTTGAGTTGTGTATTGAAAAAGATAATAAGGGGCCTCAATATTTTGGTTTGCACACAGGCCTCAAGTAGCCTAGTTACGGCACTGGTCCATATGTCCAAACGCATCCGTCTCTGCATGTTATCGAATAGTGGGAATGACATCATGGTGGGAGAAAACAGACGTCGCATATTACTATATCGATGCGCGGTTTACGTATGGACTCTCGTGGGCCGGAGTATATATAAGTTATAAGTACATCAGAATATCTATGATAATCCCCTGATTTTTGTTGTTGCGTTTTAATTAATTAAAAACTCGTGACAAATGGGCTCACCTTTCAAGTTTTGACGATACAAATTTAATGATTGAATGAAAAACATTTTGTTGCAACCTCAAAAAAAAAATTAACAAACCTGCAGGAAACTGTGGCTGGTGAGACAGGCAAATGGAAGCGGGTATGATAGATTGGTGCGTTGTACCTATAATATATATTATAATTTATAATATTATGTACAATTTACAGGGTAAAGTTGACTACAGATGAGGTACCTTATAGTTCAAAGTTGACACACATCAAATAAAAGTTATAAAATTCATGTTGGCCATAAGTCACAACGCAACACCACTATGCGTCAATCGTATACAATTTTATAGTAAAAGCGAAATTGTTTATTTTAAATCGCTCTACACGTAGGTATAATCAATATAAATAACCTATACGGGGGACGGAGTGGCCGAGCGGTGTTCCACCCTACCGACATAAAAACGTACAAAACCATACAGTTAATGGCCATAGTCGCCGAGCTTAAGATTCTAAACATTAACAAAACTTCTTAAAAACACCATCGGGTTGTATAATTTTAGTTTTTTTTCTATTGTATTGCTTATACATATATTAATCAAACTTAATTGAACAATGTAACTCAATAATAGTAGGTAACTATTAGTATTTAGTTTTAAGGCCTAAATTAATTATGACAATGTTCAAAACGTGTTAAGGCGGCCTTCTTAGTGTCTATTATTTAAGGAGACAATTTAGGATTTTCATAGTTTTCCTATCGCCCAGTTGTTTCAAGTACGCGCATCCCAAAAGTCACGAACCAAACCACTTCCTCGAAAAATATTTTTGTAACTCGAGGAGTATTTAGAGGGGAGGGGGGCAAAAGGGTTGCAATGCCCAGGGACGCCACATTCTGAGTCCCTTAAGGGCTTGTCACTAGAGGTTAAATTCTTTTCAAAAGTTAAGTTAGAACAAAAAAATAATTAATTTTTATTTTAATGGATTTGTTGAGAAATTATATTAGTGATAACTGATAACCTGTATCTTGTCTTCTTATATCTTTTATATTTCTATATATGTATTAGTATACTAATACTAGATGATCCCGTGCACTTCGTCGCCCTTAAAAAATGTGATTGTTCAAAGCCTTTTGGATATAACTCGCAACAGTAAGTGCAATTTATGAAAATTGGTCAAGCCATTTAAGAGGTTGGCGTCGTACATTTTCCATATTGTGACAAGAGTTTTTTATATATTTTTTATTATACTGCCATATGTACAATTTAGGAAAATAGACTAATATTTAAAATTATAATTTGTTTTATTTAATTATAAAGGTTGACTTTTTTATTAGGATTAAATGGAGTGGTAATGGTAAAATAAAAGTGTTCTCTAAACTAGAAGAAGCATAAGTGCAATAATGGGAAAAATATACATTTGGGCTATCACTTTTAACGGAGAGAAAAATTAAATTTTCATCAATGAATAAAAGGAAACTAAGAAAAAAGGGTAGCCAAAATGTGTGTACCTAGGTCATCAAAATCGTAAATACGCCTCTGTGAATAATGCTAAAGCTATGAATTGTAGGAAACATTTTGGACATTTTGGATGGTGTACGTATTACGGTTCCAAATGACTTTACTTGATATCTCAAAATTAGGTTGCACTTAAAACTTTAAATTGCTAACAAAACAAAAAAATTAAAAAGTTTTCCTAAAAAATATAGAAAAGGGGCTTACGACTTCAAATTAGTATTCAAAATTAAAATTGGACGTCTGGACTACTAGAAGTATATTTATTTTTCGCCATCTTATAGGTCTGAAATCTGAATACATGAAAAATTCCATCGTTTAGAGCCGCCAAAGGGTTTCAACGAATCATGTTTTAAGGAGTAATATTTAGGCAATTTATATGACATGGACAATTGGGCTGTCTATGTGTGGGCAGCAAATTATCATTAGTGCGTGTTTCCGAGAATCGGTGTAATGTCGGGTCGGCACCGTCGCCAAATGCAATAAGTGAGTCCAATAAGTATATTTAAATACATAATATTTATATATTTATAATATCATCATAGTATTTAGTCTTGAGCCAAGATAAAAGGCGTGATTTAAGTGACAGATATGAAAACACAGCTACATAATATATAGGCTTAATCTGGGGTAAACTCTTGGGGAGGCAATCAGTGGTAAAACTACAAATCTATAAGGTAAAATTACACTATTGCCCACTCAGTTTAATATATTTTAATTAGATTAGCCTTTAGGTAATAAAATAATGATCTAGGTCCTAGGATATAATCGTGATATGTAAAAGTATGGGATGACGGAGAGGGACGCTAAATTTATTAATTTATTTAATTTGTTCTATTAAGTAAGGAAAATGGATAGGGCTCTTAATGAGATTTAGAACAATTAATGATATAACTCATAACTGAAGAAAATTCAACGTTTAAATAAAATCAAATTATTGTCATTAAATAAGCATTTTTTTTTTTATTGTTCCATGATTAGAAGATTCCATTAATTCCACACTAGAAAACATAAATAAAAAAAATATGAGTTATTTGACTTAGATTTATCAACATTAGTTAGACAAATGTATGAAAACAGAAAATTAATGTTAATAACAAAATTGTAAATACATATTAATTAACTAGTCCAATTTCTTTTTCCCAATCTAATTGTGTATACATCATATCTTTTAATAAAGTCTGACCATTAATTTTGTCAGCTTTGTTGTCTGCTACAATGTCAACATTGTCTAAAAACACAACCAATAAAAAAATTAAATACAAGTAGAAAATAAATTAGAAACACACAATGTTAATCACTTACCCAATAATGCTGGCTTTAACATGTATAACGATTTGCTAAACTCTGGTAAATTATATCTTGCCACATTTGACAAAGCTTTCACTAAATGATATGGTACTTTACGTTGACACATGAATTCTGGTAATAAAGTCAGCCAGCTACCAAATTCTTCGACTCTGAAAAAAATGAGAAATTTTAACAATGCATTTAATGAACATAGTTAGGAAACTAGATACATATAAAAACATTATTAGTCATAACTTACTCTTCAGCTATTTTCAAATGTGTTTTTGATGCGATTGAACACAAGTAATTAAACACTAACTTGGTTTTCTCGTGACGATGACGACCATCATTTGTTACCATTTCATTGTGAATAATAACTAATTTTTCTATGACAGAATTCAAGTCAAAGGAGTCCTTAGATTTAATCAAATCATTGTTGTCAGATACAGTCTCTAGACAATGCATTAGCACAACAAAAGATTGATGATCAATTGACTTGTATGAATTTAATGAATCTGAAAATATAAATAATTATTAAAATTAAAATTTGAAAATCTTTAAAATTATAATTTTATGCTTACTGTTAATATATAAAGATATGACTTTGACTGATACCGGTAATATTTTATATTTACTGAGTAAAAAATATACAAGACACAGGTCTATATTTTGTTTGGAACACTTTGTGTCAGATTGTACCATACTGTCTCCAAATAAATCCAAAACTACATCTGTGTCAGTTTTGTGTTTTTTGACTTTATCTGAAGTACGGCCACCACTGTTGAGTGTAATATAGGGGAAACCATTTGATATAAATGTTTGACAAATCTTAGGGCCATAATTAATGCTAAACCAAGCCATCTGAAAATGTAATATTACATAAATTATTATAACATAGGCATATGTATATTTAAATGGATGTTTTTATTCACAATAACAATAATAATAATTACAAATATATAAACAGTAAGCATACATGTATGAAATAAAGTCTTATTCATAATTTACATTTAAACCAAATACCACACACTCAGTCCCTCATCGCTACATCTCAAAAACTACAAAACTTGAAATTTGGAATAGTGGTTCTCTAATGATCATAAGAAAGGATTTTCCAATATTCACATTTTACAGAGGTCGTCAAACATGGATCTTGAGATTCAGACAAAATTGAAACTTTTTATGTTTATAAATGGTTGTTATTGGTAACTCGGGCAGATCAGGTACAAGCATGCATCAAGTTGCAGGGCTTATGGTCTAGAATAAAGAAACTATATCTTAAAATCAAATGTATGTGTATAGCCTATATACTCAGAAATTACTCAATTGAATTTGATGAAAACCTCAAAGATTGTTTTTAGAGATATCAGGAAAGTTTAGAAAGTATCTTCCATATTAAAAAATATAACAAGTGCTAAATGCAATCCGTGACTTTCGCTCGCCCATCTACATCTAATTATTTCACAAAGCTAGGTACACTTATGCCGATTTGTCAGTGAACTGAGATATACTAAAACTGAGATATAGCCACTCAAACCGAGATACACCTATACAGCCTCGTATGTAGCATATATTATATTATACAGGATTTTCCACAACAAAAAAAATGCACAAGGGCAAAGCTGGGATATTCAGCTAGTAAAGGTAAAAGGTATTATTATAAATAAGGTATTATTATTTTTGCATCGTAGGTCATTTTTAAGTTCCAATTGATAACAATCAGAAAAAAATGTCATAAATAGATGAATGGGAGCATTTTAGTTGTTAAGCCATTTCACAGTTTGTTCATAGGAGTTGTGAAGATCTTACAGGCCACCTCAAAAGAAGTACAAGTTACGCTCAGCAAAGATAAGGGTCATAATTTAACTGAAAATACCACAGTCACTTTTTCCTGCATCTTACAGCTATACATTTTTGTGGGATTCTACAAATCCTCCACGATCTGTTTGAAATATGATTAAATCAAAACTGAGTATGGCTAGAATACTAGATGTTTCAGTTAGATTTTAATCTTCCCATGAAGATTTCAACTTTTTATGACAGATTTACCTCTTTAGTATTTCACATCATAAACTTTGTATTATGTCGAAATAATTAATACTTATGACGAACAACCTGTATAATTTAAGGTTTTTTTAAACTACCAATTTTAATCAAATTGAAACAAAATATAGTTCACATCAAATAATATACACTTCTTAAACATATTAAGACCATAGTTTTAAATTCAAATATAATATCATTTATTACATAATATGATAGTTATTACTTAAATATAAATTATAAAATTATATAAAATTATTTTATATTGATATTGACCATTGTAAATGTTATTATTTGTAAATGGAGTTTTTTTCGTAGTAAAGACGATTATTATTATTATTATTATTATTATTATGAATATTAGAGAATATTTGGGTAAAACTTAATTTTTATTCTTAAACTGTTCAAACTCAATCTTGACTCAAATTTAACCTTTAGGGTGGGTTGCTGTGGAGTGCCACCATTGGGTGACTTCCCCCTCCCTCTAATCAACCCTCGTCCCATTTACTCATTGTACTACATGTAAATACAGATTGTAAATTAATTTTTGTTCAATAAAAAAAAAAAAGGGCGGGTTGCATAAAGAACAGTCTGAACATTTGTTAACACTTCTGTAACTTATTCATTCTGTAATTCTGTAATGTGGTAAAAAAATAAATTATACCATATTTTATTTGAATATAATGATATGATACCTATTTCTTATCAGAATATTAACGGAACTGTAAAAGTTGCAGAACCAAAATTTAAGATATATCTAAAAATTAAACCATAAAAAACTTTAAAATTAATTATAAGGATTTTAAACAACAATAATAATTGTAAATCGTTACAAACTTTAACACAATTTTAAAAATTAATGTCAAAGGGATTTAATTTTTTATAAGATATAATACATACCATTTCTGATGGATTATCAGAATTTTGAAAAATTTTCCATAACAAAAGAATAATATCCAATATGCATTTTAATATTGATGCTGTTTGTAATGAAATTTCCGAACTGTTTTTATTTTCTCGTTTGCTGGGAGCCACTTCAATGAAAGTATCAATCAAAAGAGGCATCAATGATGCTGTATAATTCTAAAATTGAAAAATATGTATCAATACAGCTTTTAAATATAATGATAAAGTAAAAAAATGTATTGCAATAAAAATTTTTTGTCTGCTAAACATATTGAATAACAATAACTTAAAAATAAATACTTAGTTATTAGCTCAATAATATTTAAAACTTTTTGATTCATTTTGAATATATAATAAAACAATTTAATTTTCTAACTTGTATTTCTGTTGTTGAAGAATTCTTTTCGGCCTTTTGAAAAATGTTAAAATCCAAAGGACCAGTTTTCAAACTAATGGAATTGTACAATGGAACATGTAAACGACAAGAATCTTTCCAATTCACTGTTCTATTTAGATCTGAAGAATCTAAAAAATGTATTAATCAAAAATTATATTTATTAAATTTAGATCTATAACTTAGCTCTATAGTAAAATATTTTCAATTTTATAAACATGAATCATTGTTTTTTTTAAGATATTTTCTTTACCATACTTTCTACAATAATATAATACATTATCTATGAGAATTACATTGATAGTTTAATATTTTACTACACAACAAATATATATAAAAAATAATTTATCAAATAAGTATAGCTTTTAGTCTAAAAGTTTTTGAATCTACCATAAATAAATATAAAAATGTACCAATTAATAACAGGAATTCTCAACCTTTTTCACTTGAAGCCATACTTGTTTTTTTTTATAGATTTTCATGGCACAAATATTACGAAAATAAATATACATTTCAATAAGCAGAGACTTCTGTATATATTTTATTTAAGAAGTTATCAGGACACTATTTGTTTTTTTCTGTGACCATTGCATAGAATAGTTGGTTGAACCAACTCTGCATTAATACTTTTAATATTAGAGTGAATTAATTTATTATCAAACTTCAAGTTAAGAACATTACCTATGTCCTTACTTTGGCTATTTAATTATATTTTAATTTGTATGTAACTATGTAAGTTATTAACTTGTAAATTATTACAATTTAAAAATGCTTATAAATTGTATAAAACTTAAAATATCATAAAATAGCCAATGTATGGACACATGTAATGTTCTTAGCTTTAAATTTGATAATGGGAGAATTCACTCTAATATTAAAATTAACACTACAGAGTTGGTTCTGCTCAACATAAATATGAGCATAAATCTGTTATGTTATATGTGGGTCAGAAAGAAAACAAATGGTAAGCTGACATCCTCTTAATGTAAAATAATATGAAATATATTTTAGACAAATAGTAAGACAACAGTTACATGGCACATCTGACAAATTTATGTACCATGTCAAATCAGTTAGGAATTGCTGTATTAATTCTTTGATGTATTGACAATTTAAAGATATGCATAGTTACTTTCTGATCCTAATGAAGTGTTTTTGACAATTGCACTCAACAATGAACGTAAACTATTTAATACTTTTAATCGCCAAACACTTGTAGTCGTATGTTCAATGATTTGCACTGTGAGTTTCCGAGAAGTTGTATCACTTAGTTTTGAAGATATTAAATCTAAAAAACCAGGCAATACTACAGTCTAAAGTATACAAAAGAAACATTTGGTCTAGTCAGTTTGGATTGTATGATTAAAATAGTAAATGTATGTAGTACCTGACAATGAACAGCTGTAAGTTTAGGATGTTTAGTTATTAGAACGTCCAACACATTAAGAGACGTCTCTCTTACAGCTGAATTAATGTGACTCATTGCACAAGCTAAATATCTAATGACAATTTCAAAAGAAGGAGCAATCTGCTTTTCTTCTACAGCCGTTAATATTGACGATAATAACTTCACAGCCAATTGACGAATGTCCGCCTCACCATCTAGTGTCAAACGTGAAGCTGCTTCTAAGAACGATGACAAGTGAACGGCCATGGTTTGTGGAGGATAAGAAGCAACTAAGTCTATAAGACCTTCGAGTCCAGACTGCCTTTGCCACATGTTATGATGATTTAATCTCGACAGCAATTCCTTCAAAAATGTAGAGCATAAGTGTAATTATGATTTAAGTTGTACAAATTTAAGTACGTACCTTGATGTTTAAGTTTCCCTTGGAAAGTATTTCGTGATCACCACGTTCTTTGAGTTGGCCATGCAGCACGATCTTGCGTACTTTAAAATTTGTATCCGTCACATTTTGTCCTTTGGGCAGCAGTGTCTTATGAGCTACTTTCAAATGGACTTTGGCCTTTTCCTTTTTTACAAACTTTCTTTTTCCAGACTTGACCATTGTGAGTTTTTGTTGCGATTTACAAAAATATAAAACAAATCAAAACGAAACGTCACGTCGTATTATGTAGTAAGCAAACGATTACTATTTAACTAATAATTATTATTCATTACTCTAAGCAGCGGCGAGTGATAACTGATGAGTATTGAACATTTGAACGATAACAGACCGTGGTGCGGCCACGAGGCTGTGCAGTGCGTACGAATGGAAGTGCACAACTTTACTTCGGGACACCAACTCATTACAGTGTCGCCAATGGTAATCCCGAGAACCGACAACGTCACATCGATCGCCGGAAACGGCATGCGATCCGGCAACGTCGTGGCCAACCGTGCAAGAGAGAGACAGACTATATTATACACTTGAACACGTCTTATTATTTACTAAATTATTATTATTTATTCCGCAGTGCACAAATGCCACAAATAGCTAAATATTTAGCGACAATTGAGCCTTGCGCAGTACCTACGCATTGCGCACACTCATTACACCGTAAAGAAGGGAAATTGTGAATTGTGATCAATTCATGTAGAGTAAACTTCACGCGATCAATTTTATTGCGTCAATAATATTATTTATTAATAAATCATATTAATTTAGTTTGGATATTTTCAATAGACCTATTCAACACACTTTCTATGTTTTATATCAGGGATGGGCAATTCAATGCTACTAGAGGGGCCAAAGAACATAGAAAGCAAAATAAAATAAAAAAATTTGCTACTTAGGTATGTTAACTACGCCCCTTATAAGTAACATAATATTAATATGAAGTATCAAAATAATTTTAAATGTATGGCACGGACCAGTCAAAAATGGTTTGCCCATCCCTCTGTTCTATACATTCGCTTACCCATCAATACACGGTGAATAATGTTACATTGATAGAATAAAATTGATCGTGTATTGGGCCCTTTGGTATAAAACTCACTAATGTGGATCAATCAAGTCGGTTGCCGAGAAGGTCACCCCCTGCCGACACTATAGACGAACTGCAAACGCGGAGTCGAAAACTCGTACGGAAACGCCGTGTGTCGCCGTGTCGGTGTGTGGCACAGGGTGAGGGTGTGACGCGACTACGCGGTGAATGCATGCGTGCTTAATTTTCGGACCACCCAATGTCGGTGGGATTGAATGTCGATTATTGTGAAGATGTAATCCCGCCGCCTGCAAGCTTTCTCTTTGTTCTCAAAAAAAATACAACAGGTTAATACATACCTAGTACCTACCTACTTAAATATGGTCGACACTCGACCTGAATTGTGTTTACCTAATACCTATATACCTAATATTATACGAGTACATATATATACGATTGTAACATAGGTACCTCGTACCTATCTCCTAAGGTCCAATTTATACCCATCAAATAATATACGAACTGTTCAGGAGTAAATTATAAGTACCAGTTACGTTATTTCAGTTTTTGAGAGGGGGGTGGGCAACATTTTTGACCTGCCATAATAAAACAGAAAGAAACCGCTCATTAACAATTACATTCTAACAAAACTTTATATACTTACCAGTTGGTAATTAGTATATCATATAGGTTACCATAATTTACCATCGATTAATTCGGAAAAAAAAAGGTTACCATCATAGGCATAAATATACCTAACCCATTTTTTTAAGAGATAACAATGCCTAAATAATTAATTCATATTATGTAGAGGGATACCTAAATATATTACCTATTAGGTAGCTATATACTATATAAATAGGCCCAAAACTAGCCCATACCCGGCCCGACAGCGGCCTGTTAATGACAATAAGGGGAGTCAAATTCTTTGTCTTTGTATGAATATAGAGAATTTATCTCACCATATAAACAAAAAAAACATACATTTTTTACCATAGGGATTTCTTATGCCGGGTTTACACCAAGCCGACAAAACAGCAACTTTCTGTCTCTCGACAAATCTGCGACAATCGACACGAAATGGAAACATTTCAGAGACAAAATCGATTCTGGCGACTCAATGTTCGTGTTTCTAGAGACATTTTTGTATCCGCTCAAAAGCGGTAAACATTAGAGGGTTTCTGTTTTGTTTCTGTTTTCGGCAACATAAGTCTATTTGGTGTAAACTAGTGTTGCAACATCTGACAAATTGTTTACTATCGTTATTCTCCCTCTACACTTCGCGAGTTCATTATCACACGACTATCATTATCAATATTCATTATCAGTGAACAATCAATTGCATTATCAATTATCACGTATAATTATCATAATTTATAAATACTAATTCTAAATAGTAATTTATAATTCTCGCGATATATTCTTTACGTTTTAATTTTAATTTCCCACGGTTTCACCATTACAATGGAATTGGTTAGTAAACCAAATAAAGTATGGTCTACTACTGACACCTGCAAGTTGATAGAACTTTACAGAGAATCACCAGATGGTCTATGCCAATTACTAATAATAAATGTATAAATAATAAAATCACGAATTTTGTATCTGTTTTGTCTTTGCAGTGCGAACAGCTAACAATTCAAAACAGAAACATTTTTCGTAGTAAATGTTTCCATTTTCTTTTTTTGGTGTAAACAGAAAGTTGTTGTTTTATAGCTGTTTCTTATTTGTCGCCAAATGCGAATAAATTTGAGTTAGTTGCTGTTTTGTCTGTGTTTTTTGTTTTGTCGGCTTAGTTTAAACCCGGCATTAGGTACATGTTTTTAATGACAATACCTACACTTTTATTATTCATAAGCTGGAATAAGTTTAAATGTTTATTTTTGTACAAATTCTGTATGCATACATATGTATGCAGCATCATTATTCATAACCCTTATCATAAATTAATTGCCACGTTATTTTGTAAAATATACCTGCCTATACCTATAATTTACTCTAGGTAGGACTCTATACCTAATGTGAACATTTTGAAATTATAAATAGGTATTATATATAAGTATACGCCTGCAGTAAAGCTGTTGTAGGTTTTTATCATTAATATAATATAATATATAATTATTTACATTATACCTATATCTTTGTAAAGTTACCGTCAGGCATTGGAATAATAAAAATAATATTAAGATATACTTCAAATTGTTTGTATTCATTGTATTTTATAACTATTGCTTGGTTATATGGTGTCTAAATAGTGCCTTAATGATTTTATACGCATCAACCGCCTATTTATTACAATAAATTACAAATAATTGGTACCTAAAATAAACATTTTTATTATTTTATAGGATCATAGTTATTATTGGTATACACTATGGTATAGTCAGGACTCAGGGCCTCAGGGGTCTCAAACTTTTTTTTTAACCAAATTTGAGATACGCTTTGGAAACGCGGGCCAAAATTTTTATGTATGACTATATTATAAGCTCTTGTATGAATAACATCAAAAGAAAAAATAATTAATTAATTCAATAAATTAAAAACAATGAAAACTCAATGAGAATAATATAATATTAAATATACTATTTTTAAAACATTGATTAGCTTGGAGGTTCGGTGCAAAAACCTTGGTGGCCTGGATCCGGCCCGCGCGCGAGCCTTAGTTTGGAGACCCCTGCACTATACTACTATATTATGTAATGCTATTTGCTAGTGAAATGGTTTTCGTGTGGTAGTTGGGGGAAGTGAATAAATAAAAATACAGGACGATCAACCTGATCGAGAACTGGGCGTCACGTTGGGCGTGCTCCAAGACTGCCCGTTTGGTGCGACGACGCGAACAGACGCACCGCCGTTGGTCTGTCGGCCAATGCAGCTGCGGCGCATAATCCGTCACATACGTACTTACATGTACAAGGTGCGTGCTCTACCGGATTTTTACGGCATTACGCACACAGTAAAGAGGAAATGGACATATTTTCCAGTGCCGTAATTATTGAAGGAAATGGACAGATGTCCATCCTCTACCTTTATTTTATTTTATTCATATATTTTTTATGGTATTCATCCATATGTATCTGTATAGCTGTATATAATTTTGTACCTATACATATATATTTGCTGTATATCTAACTGAACCGGTGCCCTTCTTTCCCCGTAAAAATACCAATTCTTATGTTATGATTCAAACTTTGTTCAACCCGTTATTTAATATATTTATTCGGTGTAATATAGTGATCAAAAATTAAAAAATAAAATATTTAATTTTAAATCAGCGGATTACTCATTATTCACGGAAACAATTCTAACGAATTTACGTAAAGCGAAGTAACGTATTGTTACAGAGTTATATTATTTACTTTCGTAACGTTATTATGTTAGGTATAGGTACTATACCCAACAATGAGCTAGGGGGTAGCGGTGTCGTATGCTATCTACGCACTGAATGTTATCTATAGATAACATGAATGTTCTTAATTAAAGTTGAAAAGTATTTTTCATATCAATAAAAAATGTTTCGAACGTATTTGTTGTGTTTATGGAGCGCCACCATTCTTCTTTAAGCTGCCTTTCTAGAAAATTAGTGGCACCATGCGATCTTATACCATATTTCACCTTTATATGTCGCCAATAACATTCCATAGTTTGAGTTTCAGCTCCTGTTTGTGGATCAATGAAATTAATTTTATGATTTACGGTATTGTGGATATAGCCATGATCGTTTAAACAACTGTAAGCTTTCCATTCATCTGAAAAAATGGTCGTCCCTGGCTCAATTTATCTTTTAATAATTGGAAGCAAAGTGGCGTGGTCTCTTTTTTGAACGATAAACAATCGACGTTCTACTATATTATCACGTCTACAACACATTCCAAACACCCACGGCCCCTGTACGCGTACACCGTAATTCCGATTAGTTATTTCAGTATCAGTATCAGAACTGCTAGATCCTGATTCTACAATTTCTTCTCTAGGTTGACTATCTCCTAGACGTAGGCAACCACGATTATACTTCCGCTTGCCTTGAAATAAAGATTCGTAGATTTTGTTTTTGTAGATAGCATACGACACTAGTATTCACTATTCAGTGCGTAGATAGCATACGACACAGCTACCCAATGAGGGTAGGTACTCCTGAAAAAGTTGGGTCCACTGCTCCGCTAGTCCGCTCATATAAACTTTAAATACTTATAGGTTATAAGTTATAACTATAATAAAATAGGCATATTTATAATAAATACTAAAATGTCTATGCATATAGGTACTATATTAAGGTATAACTAGCTATATTGTGGAAAATATAGTTAAATGTTTATATTTTTATTAATTAAATTGTTTGCTAAAAATAACCTATTTTTTTCTGTTTATTGTCACATCATCATGACACCATAATACATAAATAGGTATGATAATAAAATTATTGTTGTTTAATGATTGTTCAATGATTATTTATTATTGATAAATAATTCGTTTAAAACAAGATTATACAACAGCATTGTAGTTTGTA